GACGGCGGCGGCGAAGGGGCGGCCGAGCCCCCCCGGGAGTTACGCTGTAGCGACTGCATCGTGTGGAACCGGCAGCAGACGTGGCTGTGCGTGGTGCCTCTGTTCATCGGCTTCATCGGCCTGGGGCTCAGCCTCATGCTCCTCAAATGGATCGTGGTGGGCTCCGTCAAGGAATACGTGCCCACCGACCTGGTGGACTCCAAGGGGATGGGCCAGGACCCTTTCTTCCTCTCCAAGCCCAGTTCCTTCCCCAAGGCTATGGAGACCACCACCGCGACCACTTCCACCGCGTCTCCCGCCACCCCCTCCGCCGGCGGCGCAGCCTCTTCCAGGACGCCCAACCGGATTAGCACCCGCCTGACCACCATCACGCGGGCACCCACTCGCTTTCCCGGGCACCGGGTACCCATTCGGGCCAGCCCGCGCTCCACCACGGCACGGAACACTGCGGCCCCCCCGACGGTCTTGCCCACGACAACCCCTTTCTTCACTAGCAGCACTCTGGGCTCCCGACCCCCGGTGCCAGGAACCCCCAGTACCCAGGCCATGCCCTCCTGGCCCACTGCGGCATACGCTACCTCCTCCTACCTTCATGATTCTACTCCCTCCTGGACCCTGTCTCCCTTTCAGGATGCTGCCTCCTCTTCCTCCTCCTCATCTTCCTCCTCCACTACCACCACCACGCCGGAAACTAGCACCAGCCCCAGATTTCGTAAGTAAACACTGTGAACTCTGATTTACTCCTGAGTTACCTTTTTGCCCTCCTGCTGTCTTTTTTCTTGCCGCCTGTCTTCTGGCATCCTTCACCTACCCCTTCCCCCCATTCCAGGTTTGGAACACGGAGTGAGAGAATTAAAACTGGCCTCAAGGGAGGAAAAAGGTGCCGGCTTTTTTTCCGTGTGTGGGGTAGGGGTGGTGTGAAGCAGAGGGAGCTTGTCAGTCAAGCTCCATGGGCCCTACTTCACTGGGTCCCAGATGAGCGCTAACTCCCTTCAAGGGGTTAAAGCGAGTGTGATTCCTTCTCACTGCAGACCTGCTGGCGAGCTCCGGGATCCGGCTCCTGTTGAGAGCTGCGGAGGGAGGGCCTTCCAAACACACTGAGCCCTTTCCCGGCCCGTGGGAAGGAGAGAAAGAAAAGCACATGCAAATTGACCGACGTTAAACGAGGAAGGGAAATTGTGTCCATGTGGGGGTGGACTGGGGGCGGGGGAGCGGTGATAATTTGATGGAAAGATTGGTACAGTGAAGCTGTAGACACTTCCAGCAGTCCTGACCCGGGCAGGGACCAGGAAGGGTTAATTAGAAGCCATTGTGGGAGGTAGGGAAAGGAGGCGCTCCCTGGCGAAGGGCTCAGCTGATCACCCCTCAGCCTGCCCACGGCCATTCCAAGGTGTGGAAGGATTTTGTGGATTTAGGGGGAATATGAAGGAAGCCCTGCAGAGCTGCTGCCTCTAGGGTCCTGACAGAGGAGTTTTTTTTCAGCTCTACCAAGCATTTGCTTTGTTCGTTTCCCAAAGGTGGGATGTGAACCTCATCTCCCCTCCCTCAATGCCTGAAAAATATAGGCGAAATGGGACAAAGTTCCCTGCACTCAAGGGTGAGGAAATCCAGCCCTTTGGAAACAGGTCACTCTTTGAATGTAGCTTCTTCAACCTTGGCTCAGTTGCTGCCAGTACCGGCCAGTTTACCCCGAGCGTGGTATCTTTCTATTTGTCCAGGAGGTGTATATTTTCTCTACATCTTTATAAATGTTTCCGATGACTGACTGACCTTCCACCACCCTCCCACCACCCACCTGTCTTCTTATTGTAAGGAATCTTAGGGAGCTTCTTAATCTGACTATTGATCAGGATTCTAAGAACAGTTTGTGCAACCTGTGAAGGTTATTCAGGACAAACCCCTTGCCTGCCAGTTCAAGTTCTGTGCAAGGCTTGTCTCCAAAAACTGCCTGGCTGTGCTTCCTTTATGTTGTGTTTCTGTTTTGAGCCATAACATCTGGAGGGGAAGGAAGAGTGCTCATCATTAACTGTTGAGTAGGAATACCCGGGAAGCTCTTCACTCGTCTGGGAATTTTTCATTTCCCTGACCTGTGGTCTTACCTGGAGTGTGATTTAACCCTTGAAACTTCTGTGTGTGTGTGTGTGTGTGTGTGTATTTATTGTATTTGTGATTATAGTCCGAGAGAGACATTCCTTTTGACTCTGCTTTGGGGGAAAACGTAGGCTAAAAGATAAATTGGGAGGCAGGGAGAAGAGAGGAAGAGAAGGAATCTGCCACAAAGCAGAATGGCAGTCAAACCGGTAACTTACTGCCTCTCTCTCCTTTGGCTGAAGCAGTCATTTTTGAGAGCACATTTTCTCAGGAGGTGTATAGAGGCTCCTCTCAACAAAAATCTAGCTGCTTGAGTTTTGTGGATAGATAAAGGATGTGCAAGTGTCAGGTGTGAACACAGTCACTGAATTGAAAATCTGTATGCGTCTATCCTGAAGACCCCAGGTTTTTCATCTTTTCTGTTGATACAGTTGATACGAATACATGGAATGTGGGTACATTTCCCAGCCTTGTTGCGTGTGTGGTGGTGGGGGGCTTGTCTATTGTGTGTGGGGGGGTATTTCCTGTTCTTTCTCAGTTGGTTTCCTTGCTTTCCATTCCGGAGGTCTTTAAAGAAAAGCCCAAGGTAATGACTTCTACCCCTCCATGCTCCCTTCCTACATTCTGTAGAAGGGAATGGCAGCCTGTTTAATAAGTAATGATTATTGACAGGGCTCTCAGCCCCAAGGAAAAGGGGGGGAGACTCTGTAAATGGTGTCAGTGTTCACTTAGACATATAAGCAGTATTTGTTTTATGTGTATCTGAGGTTCAGCTCCTGCTCTTTTTTTTAAACCTTCAACAAGGAGTTGAATTAAGGGATAAAAATGCAAGTCTGCAAATCCAGCAGAAACTGACCTGGTTTGCCCATATCAACAAGGGAAATTTTAATGAAAGGAAGATTATGTAGCTTCCATAAAAGATGAGTTTAAATAGGTAGATTGTATGGTAATTTAAAGAAAAAGGATAGTTTCATTATTCTTTTTGGCCCAAGGTTGCAGGATGATTAACAAAAGGAAATATAGATTTCATTTGCGGGATCATCAGCACTGCTGAAGAATGGCTTGAATAGCTTGCATTTATATTTTTCACTTGTTCGATTATGTCACCAAAGTTCCCAGGGGAGAAATTCCCCTTTTTTTCTAGCTCCTACCTCAAGACTTCAATAGATTTTTTTTTCTTTTTTTTCTTTTTTTCTTGCTTTTTTTTTTTTTATGAAAGGCATAGATTGTGTTGAAGCACCTGAGGACAGCTAAGAATGATGCTTTTTTTTTTAAAATTAACTTACAGTTTCTTTAATTGCCAGGGGTCTTTGCTTTTGAACTGAACACAAGGCTTACAGAATGAATGTCTTTGTGTTCATCTTAGGTCAGTCAGAAGGATCTTGTCTGTAAGGCAGCACAGCTCTTTGAAGTGCGAGAGGCTGGTTCACTCTAGAATAAACACACTTGCTGATAGGTAATAGGATTTTTGTAAGCAAAAGCTGTGCTTGCTGTGGGAAGGCCCAGTTTGGGAGGCTGTGTCTAATTTTCTGTAGGATCAAAGGCAGAGGAAAATTGAACTTGAAAGGCCAGGAGGAGGAGAAGGACTTGGAAGGTGATTCTTCTTATCGTCCAATCTTTAGAACATGAGCCACACCAAAACTTTCTTCTATGTTGCTGAGATCTTTTGGATTCCCAGTGAGTTGCCCAAGACTTGTCTTTCCTGTAGATGCTTTAAAAACAAATATCTTGAACATACTGCCTTTAAGAGATTATGTCACCAGAAACCTCTTTGAAGCATTTTGCAACTGGCAGTATGTGGTTAGTTTACAAATTTTTCAGTCTGAAGGGGGATTTCCTGCAGACAGTAGAGGAGCAGTGATTTTTGACCAGTGTATACACATCCTTTTAGAGCACATTGAGTTGTATTTTCAGACTTGAAACAGGCCAAAATGTTGTCAGTGCAAATGTGGATTGTTATTTTACTCAGCACAAAGCACTGTTTAACAGGTAGAAGACTAGAGTCTTTGGCTAAATTCCAGTAATAAAGACAAAGAGCCACTTTTAGTGGATTATTCTTTGGGTCGTATTTGGAGGGTGTGTAACTAATTCTAGTAAGATCACAAGTCTTGAATAGCGGATCTAGTTAAGAATTAAATGTAGAGTGTATCATGGATGTGTAACATGGTATGGTGATAACTTTGGTGCAACCAAGTCTATTGAAGTAAAACTTTATCTGGTCAAACCTGTTGTTCTTTTGAAGAGAGCCATTGATAACGCTAACTACTTTTCTATCTATTCTTTTTAAACATCTTCAGTCTTCCGGTAAGAGTACTCTTAGTTACTTTGTAAGCAGCCTCAGATATAATTTGTTTAAATACAGTTACTCCTATGTTATCTTTTATCTGCGTGAATTCAAAGGAATTCCAGCATAGAAGGTACTGACCCCAATCATGAGTGATAGCCAATGTGAGAGGATTCAGAGATCGAGATCAACATTTCTTATGAAATCCACCTGACAGCTTTTTTATGAGCACACGCTGCAACCTGAGTATGTTTTGTGTTCCTTTGGCCTTAATACAGAATTACAAGACTTTTCTGTTTTACTCAATTATACTGTACATTTTACTCTTCAGATACTTAGGTGGTGCTTCATGGTCCTAACAGAAAAAGAGGGGGAGAGGTGTGGGCATAGAATTGGCAAGGCTCTTTTTAGGACCGTTTTTGGTTTGTTCTCCGTGCCTTGAGGCTGTGGTTTAAGCCTTCCTCCTCCGCCCCTCGTGACTGAGATGTGAGGGGTTGGTGATGCTCACTCAGTTCCCTTTTGCATGTTTGATTGGTGAGTCCAGCTACCTTTGTATCTGTGCTGTTTCCCAGGTAGGCTTTTTTTTTAAAAAACACAATGTTGATCCACAAGCTTGTCAGAAAGAAAAACAGGCAAACAAAAAAGCTGGTTTGTGGCAACTTCTCTGTGCTACTAAAGAAACCAACTTCTCTAAATCCAGGGTAAGCCATAAGCAGGAGTGCTGGTGCAGACTGAGAGCAGTGCTGTCCCAGGAGGTCCGGCGTGGAGAGGAACACTGTCTCTCGGCCCTCGGCATGCCTTCCCAGCCCTTCCTCCTCTGCATGGCACAATGAGAAGAAGGGTGATTTTCAGCTCCCTTCTTTTGTAGAAATTCTTCCCTCATAACCTCTCATCTCCAGTGCCAAACATATCTCAATATTCTATCTGAGGTGTTGAAAATGAAACATGAAAGTTGGCCCTGAAATATATAAGAGCAAGGACAGAGCCATAAATCTAAGCCTGTGAAATGCATTTGAATTGCTTGTGAATAGAACTGAAATTCATTTTTCTCCCTTTGAATCTGTTTTTATCTTTAGACTTTTGTGTTGGGTGAGGCACAGAGCTGGTACTGCGTTAGCAAATACCACTGAGACATTTTTGGATCCTAGAAATGTTCCTTGTCTACACTCAAAAATGTTTCCTCCCAAACCATGTGTATGTTGGAGGCAGGAGGGAGGAATAGACTTAATTTAAAGCTTTATAACATCAGGATGAAAATGTACCTAAATCCATTCGTGTGACTGTTACTGAAAGTCTTAGGACGCATGATTAGTTTGGTGTTTCATTTTTACCACCCT